TATGGAGCCCAAATGCATTAGAGCTACAAACAGGAGAAAAAAAAAAAAAAGATCCTATCAGCTAGAGAGATGCTAATTCCTCTCCAGGGAAAAGGGCTTTGTTTTGACTCTTAAATGATTTCTGATTGCTCTATCACATATTAGATTATGGACCTGGAGTCATTAGAAAACAAGAATCTAAGAGAGGAAACCAACTGGGCAGGGAAAAAAAAGAGCCATGGATTATATTTACATAATAAAATGCTGCGCACTTTGCAGATTTAAACAATTTTTATTTGTGTGTCTATATGTACATATATATCTATATATATGTATGTATGTATGTATGTATGTATGTATATTTATTTATATTTACACACAAATACATACACATACGCACATACTCCCTCTGATACATCAGTGCTGGGTTTTGTTTTTCTGATTCCCCCTGGTTGCAAAGTTTAATTACATGTTGATTGAGCCAATTGATTCATTGTTTTTCCATTTACTTTAACGTGATATTAAATCCTAAATTAGTTTTTTTATTTTTTTGTAATTTTGTATCCCATCCATTGCATGCAGCTTGTCTCACTGATAAAGCTTTCCTTTCATGTTCTTTTGTGGGCTCCCTGGATCGTTGCCCCCACTTCCCCATTTGCAAGTAGCTCTATTCTCTCGTGGGGTCCTATGGAGACAACCGTTCATGCACATTGGCAGCTGGAGCGGGCTAGAGTGGGTGCGCATGCGCAGCGGCACATGGCAGCATCGAATGTAATCCCCAGGAGAGAGGGTACGCAGGGGATCATGGCATTTAGTTCGGGGGGGCGGGTCTAGGGAACCTTCAAAGGAGCGATGAGTGCGCACTCCCAGCCGGAAGTTCAGGGAAGCGGCAAGCGGTGGTAAACATGTCAAATTGTATGAGTCTTTGAACTTCTTCTTGAAAAGCATTTATTGTCCACTGCTCCGTACCAGTGTTTTTATGACAAAAGCATGAGACTTTAGTACTACTTTAAATGGGGGTCCGATAGGCATTTGTAACTATACAAAAGTGAGTTGATAATAGCAGCCAGCTTTTCTATGTTTAGCAAAACCGCCACCCAATCACTATTGCTTGCTTCTGACCTCAGCGCTTGACAGGCTCCTCTGTGAGCGCTGCCCACATGTTCAGGATGAAATTATCTCTCTGCTTACATTGAACCCAGATGTGCTCAGCTCAGTGACCAGATTAGTTGTAGATTGAGGACTCTGAGTCCCTAATCTGCATGTGTTGTAGGTAGAAGGAAGCATAAACCCTTATTGTCTCAAAAAATAAATATAAATATACATAGATATATATCAAGATAGATATATGGGTAGCGTGCACACACAATACTGGACCAGGTTTTCCATTTTTGTTATTTTTTCTAATTGGACATCATTACTGTGGCAAGGGGGCTACTATAACAACGATATAATTTTATATTATTATACACACACACATATAACAAACACGCCCATCTAAGACTAGGGTGATGAACTGTAGCACTGTGTGTTTCGTCAGTCTACTTACATATAACTTCAGCTGTCTATGTTACAGGAGCTCTGCTTCTTGACGCGCTGTCACAGGAGGGTGAGGGAGGGGTGCTGGGAGGAGAGCACGATCTGACAGCTGACGCCTCCCCTGCACTGCTGGCAGGCCTCCTGTGACAGCGCTGGCTGTCTTCACCCCCACACTGCTCTCCTCTGATCTGTCACAGGAGACTGAGCGGTGAGGGGAGGAGAGACACCGGCCGCTTACAACGCTTTCCTCCCGCAGAGCTCGGCCGCCTGTGACAGTTTCTCTCCTCCCCACTGGGAGCCAGAGCAGCGCCCAGCGGGGAGGAGAGAAAGCAAGGATGCGCGGCTACATCGGCACTAACAGGCACGGTAGTCTTAGATGGACATGTCCTTTTAAATAGACTAGTTAGTGACAAACAAATTAAACCCTAACACAGCAGCGTTGTCACCCTGTGACATAGACAGCTGAAGTTATATGTAACAAGACTGACAAAATACACAATGCTACCCAATGTGACAATGAATACAGTAAGAAAATGATGAAAACAATTAATAAAAGGAAAACTTCACTATTCTGAGCAATACAAGCCCTATGTATGGCCCTACTCCAAATGAAACAACTAGAAAGGCAGGAAATAGGTTTATGGTCAGTTAATGAGCTAGGATTTAATATCAAAACAGAAGCTTGGAGTCAAGAGCGAACTTTATAGAAAAAGCAGAGAGTTGCATTTAATTTGTCTATATCTCATAACCTAGAGATCAGTTCCATGCGCAGTTTTGAAGCTGAGCTATGTTTAGGCGCATTTTCATTATATGTTCAGGTGGAGTTTGTTTTTTTTACAGGTTCACTTTCAAAATAATGTTATTTATAGAATGTCACACATGTCACAGCAACAATAATAATCCTAAAGGTAATAAAAAGAATGTTACACAAATGCACAATTTTAGCTATTAACCAAGTGAGGATTTTAAACGTAGGAGAGGAATCCTCCAAAAAATTTAACAAAGTTTCTAGGACGTTTCTCCTGCATTCACTGCCTCTCCCTCTGCTGCTATAACCAGCAATTACTGGCTGTAATTTTGACAGCCAGAAACTGCCATGTATAACAAAGCAGGAAAACTGTCAAACTGCAGTCACTCCTGTGTAGAAAAAGATACTTGCCAACTGCACTGTAACAATATATGTTTTCATTGTATTTACTGTTTCATTCATATGCAAAGGTGTGATCCTAATCAGCCCCAACTAACTCCTTCTTTTGCTTTTCTATTATTTTTACTTTATCGTTAATATTATTTTCATATCCTCCCACCCCCCCCATTTTGTGCAGATTTCAAAAACAAATCTGCACAAAATGGGGGAGGGGGGGCCTTTTTTAAATTACAAATAACTTTCTTTGTACCAAAAATATTGTTGTAGTGTAATTTTAAAAAGAACAAGTTATAGATTAAAATGTACATTTGTGTTTTTACATACACAACTAAAATAAAACATTTACAGAAAACATCAAGGGGGGGGAGAACAAAAAACACTGTCCAAAATAAACAAAAATGCATTATTTTTTGTCTATAGATTACATATAGAGAATTTAAAAAATGTTTGCAAGACAACATTATTGCCAAAGCCTAGATCGTTTAGGGTGCCCTTAATTAACGGCATTATGTGTTTTTGACGAATTCCACAGACTTTTGTGCGCGTTTACGAAACGCCTAAATGTGAATGGGGAGTCAGGTAAAGATAAACGTATTGCTGAATGATCAGGACCATAGCTGAAATAGAAAAATTGCCCTGGTCCATAAGGGCTGTGCAGTTATGAGGGCTGAAGTGGTTATTTAAAACCAGAAAAATCACACAGGCATGTGACAATCCACTCTTCTCAATAGCGCCCATTCACAGAAGCGTGTTGCAAAAGGCCTTTCATGCCGTATTTGTTATGCATTAACGTGCCTATGCCCCATCCAAATGTGGATTTAAAGGTGCTCAAATTCTCACACTTATGTGTCTGAATTCACGCATCTTGTGGGAGCAAGTTCTAGATTCCTAAAATTGACTAAACTGACCCAACGCCATAAGAGCACGACATTCAAAGTGTAGCATGGTGCAATGGAAGGATGTAGACTAGAGGATTGTCTATAAATACAATTATATGTGCACATTGCTCCCTCTAGTGCTCGGCAAGCAAACTGACATTTATATTTCAGCTTGGCTTTCCTCTGTATAAGCGTCATCAAATTGGTTTGGCAATACCCCAACGCAAGGTATTAAATGCACTCTAATGGGCAATCAGTCTGAATGCAGAATCTTTTTACAATTGCCTTTAGGATTACCTACCCCTATGTAGTGTGAGAGCTTGTCTAAAACATCCATTCAATTTACATACAGTCAGGTGGGTCCTCACTAAAGGAGATTGTACAATCAGATATAACGTGTTGGGTCCCCTTTAGAACTTCAAGATTTACACCATAACTCTAGGAAACAAGTGAAATGAATCAGTAAACTGATATTTCTATCCGGGGTATACTGAAATTGGTCCATTTAGCAGACTATAAATACGTTTTAAAATCTAGTAGCCAAATTCACCTTATTTTCGGAAAGGGTAATGGGTAAGCATGTGCATGTTTTTGTCACATAATACTATTAAGATATGTGTATTCAGCTATGTACAGCATGTGACAGTGCTGGGCCAATCAGGCGTTTACAGTCCTGTGTAAGCTAAAACACTGACGAAGATGTTCACCCAAGGCTTGACTTTTGCTCGTAAAGACTGAATGGAGAAGTGGAAGATCGACAGAATTGCAAGTATATGCATTCAACATGCAATTACAATTTGTCACTCAAATCATTTCATTTTTAAGAAATACTTCTTGAGACACAGTGATGTCATCACTAGACCCAAGGTGGAGAGAGAGACTCTGCTGGAGGGTGAAGCTGGGTAGATGCTTGATCGTTGCAAGGGCATGGTGACTCTCTTGGGAGAATGCATGTAGAAATCTGCTAACAAGCTGAGGTTCTATTACATACTATCGGCTTAAAGGCTCTCTACACTATATAGCTGGGAAGTGGACATAGAGTCTGGAGTCTATATTTCTCCTGGGTGTCTGTAGCCATTATCAACAGCCATTACATAGCTATCATCAAACTCTCCGATTGCGCTGCTATGAAGAACAAATTCTTTAAAACACCTTGCAGTGACTGGAGCCCAACCTACTTTAGCACCTTAGAACCAGCCCAGAACTAGCCCCTGGAGGTGAAATGCTAACCCATCCAGCCTGTGGGATTCCTTACATGCTTTTGGGGGTCCGGGGAGTACTACATTAAGGTTATACAATATGACAAGCCAAGTATGTGATAGAGGGTGCATTGGTAACAGCATAGCCTTAGCTGTTGAACTCTGAACCACAGGAAGCTCTATTATCACAGATTGATCCATCAGCCTAAAATCACCCATTTAGACTGGATTATACCTCCTTCTGGTCAAATCACTCACCGCTTTCCCTTCTCTAGCTGTGCACTCAATGTTCATCTCCTTATGCTTCTTTATTGCAGTCTCCAGTTTGTTTTTCAGGTCAATGGCACATCTAAGACTGTCATCAGTAATTCCAGCCTTTGTAAAAACCTAAAGGGAACAAACAACACATAAAAATGTCATTGTGCAGTAAATGAGCACAAAACTCAAGAAAAGTAAGGCCATTTTAGAAGGGTCTTTATTATTTAAACAAAACGCTAATTTAGAATAGGGGCAGGAGACTTAATCCAGAGTACATCTGTCCAACTGAGGAGCCAGACTGTCCAATCCAAGAATGGTGTGTCTCCACCGTGCAATTCCGTCTGAAGATCTGAAGATTCACGGGCGGCCGCAAAGGATCTTGCGGCGGGCGCATGCACAGTTCAGATCTTCGGCCGGGAGACGGGGAGAGACACAAGGTAAGTCAACGCAGCAGCCCAGCAGTGTGCACCCGCACAGACACCGTGGGACAGGAAGTGCCAGGAAGAGAGAGGGGAAAAGTTATCCTTTAATGTCACTTTAATTGACAACAATTAGTAAAAACTAGGGATGCACTGATACCAAGTACAGTACTCGGTACAAGTACAAGTACAGATACTTTCCGAGCTCCAAGACTAGACTAGAGAAAAATTCAAAAGTTAGGAGGCAGCTGTCATTTGTAAGGAGCACACGGAGCTCCTGGGATTTGTACATCCCTGTTTGAATGTATGATTTTGTTTTTATAAATATAAATAAAGGGATGCACCGATACCATTTTAGCAAGTACGAGTACTGATACATTTTTGGTTAGTGTCATGTGACAGTTTTTCTAAAACAATACAGACTAATGATTTCAGGACAGTGGTGGAGCGCCAAGAGCCAGGTCCCAGCTGCAACCGCTGCAACCCTGGTAGTTCTCATGAAAAAATTTATTTTAAAAAATGCAAAGTATCGGTGCATCCCTAGTGAAAACCTAAAAAGTTGGGTGCCGGCTGTAAATTTTAAGGCTTATTGGCTACCTGGCCCCTGGGGTTAATCCAGCCCTGTTCTATGGACTCCCTGTTGGACTTTCATACATTCAACAGAGCAAATAATACGCCAGTCTAACTCCTTTATTATCAATAACGAATGAAAGTCTAACACAGAAAGTCTAGCAGCTGCAACAAGTGGGTAGAGATAGGAACTCAAGTGCTGGGAACTTACCACCAGAATCCTTGAGAGAGTAGGAAGTGGCTGCAATCCTTCTTGGCATCTACATATTAGGACTAACCCTGTCCCCCAAACCACAACAGGTTAAGTTCAGGCTAAATGCCCACCCAGTGCTGACATTATAACTTCACTCACCAAAAATGTCAGACTATCCTGGCCTGGATGTGTAAATTAGTGTCCGTTGCATTGTTAGAATGTTATCATTTACATGCATAGTCTGAATTAGAGTGAACCTCCAGGCTAAATGTGCTCAGTACATTTGACTCCTCTGTGCAATAATAACCCACCCTTCCAGACCCTAGATGAGAGTTCAGATGGCAGTGGGCTACCACTGGCTTGGAAAACCTTGAAAAAAGGGTTAGATAAAGTATATCATATTCAAGCCTCAGAGATGAAGTGATTGTATACAGTTGCAGTACCCAGAACATAATGGACACCATCGCTGTTACATATTTAGCAGGGGTTGGGGTGACGGAGGATACCTGTATCCAGGACTGTACGGAGGGCCAGTATTTGTTCTTAGCTAGTTTATGAGCATCCACCAAGTTGTTCACGACATCTGTATTGTCCTCATTTTCATTCACTTTAAGGTCTGCAAGACAAGTTAGAGGTCATACAATTAACTTACAAACAGCCAAGTCTCCCATCCTTTCGGCGCCATAAAAGCAAGTAGCAGCCATTAAAAAGAAACTACAGTACAGTGTATTCAGTAAGTACACATTAATTAAAAAAACTCTGTCACCAGACCATTCATGTTAATAAGTCTCCCCCTTAAAGAAGAACTCTGGGGAAAATTATTAGTAACCCTTGCAGTGGAGCTACCCTCTGCACTGCAAGGGCTAAGTGCTCATTTGTGTCTAGGGAAGAACATTTAAAAAAAAAAAGTTATACTCACCCAATCCTCAGAGCCAGCATGCTCTTAGACCAGTCCCTGGAGCCTCTCCCCCCTCTGCTGCAATGGTCGAAGGTCCTCTAAACTGTCATGTTCTATACACACGAGCATTTAACGCTTGCAGTACAGAGGAAGCCCAAAGGCAAGGATTGTTTTTTATGTTCCCCGGAATTCAACTTTAAATATAGCTGTGGGCATGTATGCTCTGGGCGCCTGACCTTTACCCTATGTTTAAGGGTAAGCTTTAGGCTAGGTTCACACCGCAGTGACACCCGAGATACGCGGCCCCATTGATTTCAATGGGGTTGGTAAAAAAGAGTACAAGTACCTTTTTTTGCGATACTCTACGCGCAGCTTTTTTCTAAAACTGCGCAATCCACCCGGCGCGACTGGGGTGCCATTAGAAAATCTTGGCACCCACAGCGCGATTGGCTGCAGTGGGCGACTCCGTGAGCACGCTGCTATCCACGCGGTTTTGTGCACGATTGCCACGCTGTCAGGAGTCGTCCAGGTGTGAACCTAGCCTAAAAGGTGCCCATACACCTTACGATTATCGGACGATTTTCGTATGCGATCGACTTTTCGTCCGATAATCGTATGTGTGCATGGCAGTGCCCGACCGACATTACTGTACAATCGTATGACTTTTGACGGTCAAGCATGTTTGAAAACTTTGCTAAATCGTACGGTTTTCGTAAGGTTGCTGGCGTTTCCGTCCGTCAAAAGTCGTACGATCTACACTGCGCTTACGCTAACGAAAACACGGCAAATCAATTACCGCATTTCGTCCAGGTGCTTTTCGTTAATTACGGTTAAATTAATCTTGCGATCATCGGGGCAGGATGGGGCTGCCGTACGAAAATCCTTACGACTATTCGATCATCGGACGAAAAGTTTCGTCCGATAATCGTAAGGTGTATGGGCACCTTAAGGGCCAGTCTATACAAACCCAAAATGTCATTTCTTTGCTGATGCTAGAAAGCTATGTGAAGGTTACATATATCCCAGGCACTCTGTTGGGAGAACACTGCACTCAGGTCTGCATACCTGCTGTGTCCATTATAAGGAGTTACCACACTCCCTGCTGGAATTCCTATTTATTTTTTATTACAGAGAATGCAACATGATGAGATGAAACATACAAAAGGTGGGCAGTAGGATATTATGGCAGAGAGAGATTTCACTGCATGAGCATCCATGCCATAAAAGAAGCCAGGAGGTGACTGAGTCCACTAGCCTCCCCTTGTAATTTAAACAACACTTTTGGGTAGACTGCCCTTCACAGCTAAACTCCAGAATAAGCAAATATTGTCTAAATATGAAAGCCATGCATTTTATTACCTGAATCTTGTGTACTTCTTCCAGATCTGTGCAGTAATGCAGTGTGAAATCTTGCCCCTATGCAGGAGCTTCCTGTCATAAAGACCGGTCACTGCTGCCCTCTATTCTTGCACAGGGTGACTGGTCTTGTGTCCACCCCCTCCTGCAGTTTCCTGCAGGTAGCTTGTAGTCAGTGGACCTGTTGGGCTCCTCCCACAGCTCTGCTCTTTGCACAGGCTACTCACAGCACAGCGCCCATGTAACCACTACTTTTGCCAGGTAACAAATGGGCTTGCAAAGGCATTTTGTGCACACAAAGTGCATTCTATCATTTGTGACTATTGTGCAATGTATTTATACAAACGTTTTTGAGCCCAGAGTTCAGCTTTAAACTTTCCATGCAAACCATGTATGGACTTAGAGTAGCATAGATGCTCATGACCCGTTTCCATTCTACTGCTTGCAAATATTACATTTTAAGAACACATTTATTTCAGTCCCACAATACCTAAATTAGCCAGAGATCAGACAAGACATAAAAGGAATAGTTACCTCTAGATATTTCAATATCAAGCGTATACATTCTAGAGCCTAAACCATGGTCTCTGATAAAAGACTCTTCAACAGCTTCAAAGTCATCATCTGACTCATCAGAATCAGAGCCTTTGGGAGCTTTCTCCACTCCATTTTCATGGCTGGGACCAGGTAACACCACCGCGGGCAAGTCCTTGCTACAACATGGCTGTTCATCATCTGCATCACATGACTGAGAAGGGGATACAAGGCTTCGTTTGGGCTGAGAAGAGGCGCTGTTCCTGGTTTTGCAGCGACTATTGCCTGCGTCCTCATGGACCACAAGAAACTCGTCTGGGTCGGGTAATAACAGTTTGAAGCAGTTCTCCATCTCTGTGAGGCAAGACTGGATGTCCGCAAGCATTTCTGGTGGGGAGAAAGATGTGATTTATGGTTATTTACATTTACCTTATAATGAAAAGTGAGAAGAAATAATCATATTGAATATACTATATGTATGTACTATGTATTATAGAAGCTACTAGTATTTTGGGCCTTTTCAAGCTCCTATTTAAACACAATAGGGCAATTTGTTTAACTATCCTGGCATGCAAAGGGTCTATTCACAACGTTGCAGTAGAAAATGCACATGCAAGGTCCTCCCAAAAATGAGTCAGCCTGAGATGGCATCTCACTGGGTCACAAACGTCCACCGTGAGCCACCAACCCCCACCCGCAATATGCACAAAGAGTACCTAACAGCCCTACACTAGAACATACATCATGAGCACCCAAACACCCCCTACCCCTACGTCCCCAGGCAGCGAGACATCTAGGGACATCCCTGCCCTCATGTGTTTTACTCAAATATGCATAATCTGTTTGTAGCACATAAAATGTAATGCAGCGCAATACAAGTTACGTGCACACATTTCTCTTCTTGCTGAAGACATGTGGGGCATATAAACATGTGACCTAAAAAAACACACTAATTAAAACGCATACTGTGTTTTTAGTGCGGCTCCAGTGCTTTTTCCATGAGTTACCATTGGCTTTAATGTAACGCACATTTTTAGCAAAATGCACAAAAAAGGGCAGCAAGCAGGATTTTTCAAAAATGCAATGCACTGGCCTCTAACAGAATATAACAATGTGAAGAGCTTCATAGATTATAATGGTAACTAGTTTCAATTAAATGTAAAGTATTACTAAATGCTTGGTGTTTTTTTACCTTATTGCATTCTCTACATTTATGTAAAAAAACACCCCATACCTTTATATAACCCTCGTGCACTTAAATGTGGTTGCTCATCTCCTCCACCGGGACCAGGAAGATACTCGTCTTTTTCCATACTTCCTGCTCCTGGGGACAGGGTACCAAGGGCAGAGGAGAGATAACCCCCATCTGCCGTCATTCAAACTGACTGTGGGAGCGGGGAATGAAGCATATATGTGTATGTCTATGGACGTACACAGCTAGGCATGGGAATGCGCACGCACAGGTGTCTCCACAGCAGCTGGTTAGCTGATGGAGACACCCGCACACAGGGTGGTGGGGGTACCAGCAGAGGAAAGAAAAATCTTGAAAGAAAAAAAAACTGCAATTCAAGTAAGAAAAAAAAAATGAAAGTTTAATATCACTTTAAGCACTCTGTGATCTTGCGATGAAGTGCACATAGAACACGGTGGCCCTTAGAGCAGAAGTAAAGAGAAAAAACCTGGGAGGTCGGGATTTTTGGCAGAAGCAGCATGCAAGGTCTCTTCTGCCCCCCCAAAAAAAGATAACACTAATTCTCACACTTTCATCTAGTGATTTTTTTGTTATTTGTTTGTGTACATTGTATGGGGCCTGCGCCCTGCAGTGCACGCTCACTACATCTGCAAGAAGTCGTGAATTGGCTTAGTGGCGGGGCGGATGTAACTCCAGTGCACATGCGTAAGAGTTACATCATCAGTGGCCAACCAATGGCCAAAAGAGCCACACAGAACCCGGAAGTGGCAGCAGCATAGATGGTGGCGGCGGGGTACAGAGCAGGGGAGCGAAGATGTCTCGGAAAGCACTGGAGAAGGGTGTGCTTGGAAGGTAAATGTGCCATAATTTGCAAGTGTGCACAGCATACATGCAGATTATGGCATAAACCCCACCCAGGCTCACTGCAGCTTTAAGTCCAATGGCACCTAAAATTCTAGCATTTCTGAACAGAAAAGCTGCAAGATCAGATTTTGCTGCCCCCATACCTAGGAAAAACAGGGAAAGTCTTTTAAATCCTCTACATTCCATCCTATCAGGCAGCTGGTATCAGCTCTCAGATTAAAGTGCAACTGAAGCCAAAAGAGTGGAGAGGGATCAGAACATCTGACAGGGTCTTACTGCTCTCCGTGTCCCAATTAGGGAGATTCATCCTCTCCATTTGTCCTGGTGACTGTTATCATCGAAAATGAAAGAAAATATCACATTTTGGGTTGTCATCAGTACAGGAACAAATGGGAAATCGTCCAATGGGAACACTAGTTGACCACCAGGGATGGAGGGATTTGCTTTCACTTGCTGTTGTGGCTATTGAATAGGAAGTAAATTTCCCCAATGGGACACAGATGGCTAAAAAAAAGCTGACAGGGGTTATAACCTTCCCCCCTAACCTGAAGTTGTGCCTTCAGTTTTACTTTAAAGTGACACTCAAGGATATTCTTCCCCCGCCCCAATGCTAGTGTAAGGACTTACCTTAAATTATGCCTCTTGATCATCTTCTTCTTTCCTGTAGTTTTCAGGAGTCCCTCAAGCGCTGGTACTGGTCTCCGATCGAGCACTGACTCCTCTCTCTTCTTGGCACTTACTGTCCCACGGAGTCTGTGCGGGTGCACGCTGCCTGCATTGACTTACCTTGTGTCTCTCTTCGTCTCCCGGCCGAACATCTGTACTGCGCATGCGCCCACCCCATCATCCTTTGCGGCCGTCCAAAATTTTTCAGATCTTCGGACGGGAGTGTGAGGCGGAGACACAGGCAGGTTTAAACTTTTTTTTATGTTTTTGTATATATCTACTGTTTGCTAGCAGTAGATATATGTAAAAACCCCTGAGGGTTTAAATATGCTTTAAAGAATATCTGCCCTTACATCAAAACCTCCTCACCCACCTCTTGCTGTACAGTAGACACACCCCTATGTCTTTACTGGCCATATCTGATGCTATAGCCCTCTCGGTCACTTGGGGGGGCGGTGCAACCTAGCCTAGTTCAAGAGGCCACAGTGGAAATTGAACACAAGAACAAGAAAAGCTTTGACTACAGTTGGGCTTTAAATGTTACCCCATGGATTGCCTTTTCTTACCTTCCATTTCAGTCTTGGCTTTTTTGGCTTTTTCTAGATAAATATTTTCTAAGCGCTTCTGTTTTTCCTCTTCTCTTTTTCTCTGCGCCAATGTTCGTGACCTGATATCTTGGAAATCCACCTAAATAGACACAGCAAAGTAAGAGGCTGAAAAAATGGTCATTCATCCGGGTTATCCTAATTTGTCTCTAATAGGTTGCTTAAAAAGCAAAAACAACAAACTATTAAGGCCGCTGCCAATTTACCCGATTCTGGAGATTTCATTTATGACTGGTCATTGGCCTTTAGGTGAATGCCCTGGATCAATCACACCAGACGGTAATCATAGCCCGTATGGCTAAAGTTACTGACCACCTTAATTCTTCCACCTAGTCCACACATACAAGGACATCAAGCAATACACAGTAGATGACCACCAGAAGTGAACTTCTCCCATCTTGCAGTAGAGATACCCAACTGCTAAAATTAAGTCCTCAACGACCAGCTATACAACCCTTCTGTCCTGCCCATCAAAGTTTTTAATGATCATTTATATAGCTCAACGCTGAGTCAGGCCTATAAATCTGTGATCAGCCAAGCTCATGCTCTCCGCTGATTGCAGGGCTCTAGATCTGATCCAGCCGGTTGAATGTCAGACTTCTGCAGAGGTCCAATGTGCCCCTTGATGAGTCAGAAGTATAGCTCTGCAGTAAGCAAAGCTGCTGATTGTAGAGCTCTCGCTCTGGCCCAGTGGGGGGTGTGTGACCCCTCTGCAGAGAGACAACTGCTTCCCCACAGAGAGCAAGGGACCTTCTCTGCAGCATGTTGGCAGGGGACAGACCTTTCTACTCACGAAACAGTCCGTATACCCATCACACACAGAACCGCTGCTCCATCAGAGAAGTGGGTGCAACTGGTGTCAACGGGTGTCTCCTGTCAAAGTATACAAGCAAACAGGATGGACACCGGCACTCCTGTGATGATCATCACTTGTTTGCCTGATGAAGGGGATCCTGTGAGACCCCAAATTGTTGCATTTAGTGTTTGACTATGCAACAAGTACGTAAATAAATATACGTACTTAATTTGCTTTGGAGTGTCGGTGTCCATCCTGTTTGCTTGTAGATCTTTCTACCCAGGCTCAAAATAACAAACGTTAAGGCTTTGCACACCTTTAGTTTTGATTACGTGAAATGTATTTGATTTGCATCAAAAGTTTAGTTGGCTTTTAAACTGCACCTTGCCAAGAAAAAAAAAACAAACGTCTATATTGCCTTATCAGCATTGTAAAGGAAGTAATAAGTAGAAACATATCATGTTCTGATGTAAAGAACCTGTGCTCATCCTCTCTATGTTGCAGAGTGAAATTCAGCACTGAGACAATGCCAAAGTGATATAACAATCCAGACTTCCTGGTCTACTGTGTGATCTCAGCAGACCACCTGCACACAGCACGCTTAGAACGTTACCTGTTTCTTTTGTTTCAGGAAGTGAAACCCTAAAGAAAGTTTCTTGTACGCCTCCCCGAACTTCTCATGCCATTCCTGCACAGCCTTAATAGCCAAAGTCTTCATTTTCTGAGCCACCTCCTTGGGCGGCGGGAGTGGCTGCTCATAGTCCGTCTCTACGGTGAGCTCCAGAAACTCCTGGAAGTTGTCGATCAGCAGCGTGCGGAACTGATGAGACCTGCTGAACAGCTCACCGACGATCTGGAAAGCAGACAGGCGGATCTCAGCGTGTTCCTGGTTCAGCTGCGTCATAAGGAGGTGATACACATGGCGGATGTGTTCATCGGAAGACCTGGAAAATGAGACCAAATAAACTAGTCAGATACAGGACTGAGAATCACTTGCCACATATACAATGGTGGCATAGTGGTTAGCACTTAGTGGTTGCAGCACTGGGGGGGGAGGTCCCCTGTTCGAATCCCTGCCAGGTCACTATCTGCATGGAGTTTGCATGTTCTTGCAGGTACTCTGGTTTGCTCCCACACTCCAAATACATGCTGCAAGGTTAATTGGCTCCTGTCTTAATCAGCTTTTGTGACTTGTACTGAAAATGTTTAGTCTGATTTCACTGCGAGCTTCTCACAATGAACATTAGAAGCTGCAACAAGTCCAACAGAGCCTGCGCCATTTCCTGGCTGGAGGACATCCAGAATCATCTAGCCCAAGGATATGACATCTTGGCCTTCCAGCTGTGGTGAAGTTACAAATCCCATCATGCCTCTGCCTCTGGGAGTCATGCCTGTGACTGTCAGTCTTGCAACGCCTTATGGAACTTGTAGTTCCACAAAAGCTAGAGTGCAGAGTTTGCCCACCCCTGATCTATCCATTTCCTCCCCAGCCTTACTGTCCCTAGCCTGTCCTTTTCATTCATTGGAGGGTCAATATCACATGTGGGTGCTTCCTATGGCAATCTGCATGCAACTACAGCCTGCCTAGGATTGCCCACTCCTCCAGACTGACATCTAGGCATTTGCATGACTCCACCAAAGATCCAGCCCACTGCTTGCATCAGGGTTGAGGACTGTTGAGAGGAGGTAGGATGCTGTAAACTTTTCAAGAAGCTATGTACAGCCCCTCCCACCAGCTCTGATCTGCCTGCACTGCATAGTGAAGTGTAGGTACCCAGCGATGATGTTATTGGGTCTATAATAAGGTATGTAATAAAAATGGAAAGTTTCATTAGCAAGTTGATGGAGCAGAGGGATGAACCATGTAAAGCAAAACATAAACAGATTCAACTTCAAACAAGAGCAGTAACAATCTAACAACTAATTTGCCATGCTTTGTTCATGCATGGCAAAGTAATATGTGCCCACCATCCCCTGCACTATGTACTCCTCCTCCATTGATCTCTCCAACATCCATTTGGCCAGCAAAGCAAAAAAGTTGATCAAAGGGC